TTTTGTAGACAATTAAGATATATATTTTTAATGTCTATTAAAAAATTATTCATTTCTATCTATTATGTCAACTTCAAAAACAAGTGTCACTTGCACACATGTAATGACACTTCATTCACTTTAAATATAAAAAGCTATCTCTAAATTTAAATCCTAGATTTTTCTAACATTTCACTGGAAAATACAAAACTATATTGACTATATTAAATTCATATAAAGCACTTAATTCTTTCTTTGTTTTAATGTATATCAATGGTTACCAAATTTGCAACTTTTGAAAAGTACTAACATTAGCTTTTCATAACTATACACTCTTTTCCAATTGGGTTTGAATAAAAAGTTATGATATTTGAATATTATCAACACTGACACGATGACTATCTCTTAACATACATCTATACTCTGAATAATACACATTTTTGACATTTAAAAACATACTTCAAGAATACCCCAAAATTTAACAGGCTGATGCTTAGATGACTTTTCTAGACATCTGGTCTACCATCAACTTCTCTCAGACATATCTCAGAATTATATTAAAAAACCAATCAACAATAAATTATTTAACATTCAAATTATTCATTGTTGAATCCAACTTTCAAATCCACAACATATTAAAAAAGGATCCTTAAACATTCATCAAGGATTCACTTACCCACACAACTGAACACTACAGACAATTACACATATCTAAGACTATGCACACAAACTTACATTTACTTTCACAGTTACGTGAACATGGAAACAGTTTGCATAAAATTACATTTACCATTCAACATATTAATCATGCAGCATGGAATATCTTCAGTAACGTTGCATTCATTCATATATCACATGCAGACTACTCACAACAACATAACATGTTATCTACCACTAGCAAAAGTTAGAATACTGTGAACAAATATGCGATCAATATGTTTACAATCAATTAACAAATATCTAATAAAGTGGTATTCTTTACCAAGTTGCAAGTAGTGATGATCACAAAAAATATAGTACACTTGACAATGAGTGGTATAATATTATGAATGATTTTTACATAATTGTTTATCTACAAAATGTTCTGTGAGAATAAACAATTTCAATCATTTCCAAAGATCACGACAAATTAACTTGTCCCACAGTATTCACCTTCATGCCCGATGCTTTTGGACCTCAAAACGAATTGGTGTTGTACAGGAACGAATAAACACAAGGTGCAAAAAACGTGCTCACAAGGGCATTAAGCTTCTAAGAACACGTTATAAAGAAAACCCATTACCATAGCGAAAAGAACAGCCGCACTAGTACTCCAACGCACCAAAACCAATTATCCACGAAGACGTTATCCACTTTCAACATTACACTATGCTTCACACACGATTTCTCCAGGCTCAATGTCACAGCTGTCAGTTACAAACACTTAAAACATTGACGTTCGCCACCGCAATATCGCTGTACGCCCCATAACGAATACACATGCAGTCCGATGGGCACCAATGGGAAACGTCTAAATATTATTACAGCAACAGACTGACAGAATAAGAACACAAATAAGCACAGAATAAATATAAGAACGAATAATCAAAATAATCGGCTGACGTCTGGCGACAATCCACTCGAGAGCCGTCACATGCAAAGAGTAACACATGTAACATTGGTCACATCTTAGCCAGTTGAATATCATGTAACATCAACATGTCAAATGAATTTTTATCGTGATCACTGATATTAGTGGTCGCCTCTTCAATTCTTAACAGGTTAAACCATGAATGAATGTGTATGTTAATCTATGGGTAAACTTTACGTTTATAACATTTTGGATATTTTCCAGCAGGAATGAAAAACATGTTAAGTCAATCCGATAAGTATGTCCGATTTGTCCTGGAACTATTATTTTTTGTCATTTCGATTGATTGTTAGTGATTTAGGGCGCGTCAACTACTAGGGTCATTAGTCCCCCAGACAGATTTCAGTATGAATTAAATCTCTATCTTTAATATTGTAGTTGTAGGAAGACCACGAAAAATTTACAACTTTTGCAAGTTTCCCCAAATCATGTTTTTCAACCATCATGAAACCTGCACCATTCTCTTAAACATCCTTCCCACTATCCGACAAAAATTTAATAAACTAGTGGTGCTACAAATTGCACAGACTTTCCCGTATTAGTTTTCTATTTCTTTGGTCTTGGCTAGCTATTCGGAATTGCCAGATATTTTTGCCAGATGCCATTTATCGCAGACAAAAGTACATTTTTTGCCATTTTCTTCATTTTTAGGTTTCCTAACTGCAGAACGGAAATATTATTTCAAGAATATTAAAGAACAGTAAAACATCGTCCTAAATGGTAATTTTAAGTTGGAGCCGTTTTTAAGAAAATGACGCTTACAGTAAAATCGAAACTTGAAGCTCCTTTTCATAGAAAATTTATGAGATTTCGAAAAACATCATTTGAAGCACTTCAACTCACAAATGCAATAGTGCTTACAAATTGCTAGAAATGTGCATATTACCGACGTGAGAGATCTTAAAAAACTACTTTCATAATTTTTGAAAAAAAACAAAACAATAGATCAATATAGCGTTAATATCAACTTATCAAATACATTTAGTGCAATCTCTATTAAAAGTTTAAAGATAAAATTTGAAGCTGTTTTTGAGAAAATCTTGTTTTTGTAATTTCTTAAAATTGCATGCAATATTGTGTCAAAACAACTAACATTTTCAAAAGTATCGCCCTTAACGAAAGAATGAATTATGGACAACAAATTTCAATTCAAGGGAAAATCTTTATCTTTAATTTTGTAGTTGTAGAAAAATCCCCCAAACATTCAAATTTTTGAAATTTTCGAAAATTCAGATTTAACCGTGAAAATCGTACCTATGCCACCTTCCTAAGTGTATTTTACTATATTCTTAGAAGAAATTCAAAGAAAAATATGTGGAGTCATTTTCGAAAAAAATTCGAAAATGTCCCAGGCGCTTAATGTGAAGTATCGCCAAAAACAAATGAATATAGTATTTCTGTGAATATAGTATAGTATTTATATAGTACAGGTTTTGAAAATCGCAGTTTCGACCCAGACTGAATGGACAGAGGTTTCTTTAATTTGAAAAAAATCGTACGTATGGTTTAGGCGCTAGTGTTTTCACAGACAAACGGACAGACGAACGTTTAAAAAAACACTTTTTCGATTTTAGAGGATCCCAAAATGTGTATTTCCATTGGAATCTTGAAGTCGATTTTCCGCAGCATTACATAACGTTCCCTATACTACGCATATTACTCCCTATATACGTACGTATACGGGAAAGTAAACCTTTTCTTTTGAAAATTTGAAAAATGTCCCAGGAGAATCATGTAAAGTACTCCCCAAAATTGAAAAATTGGTTTTAAGTTCTAGGGGCCGTGACATCAGCCAGCTCCATTGGGGAATATCAATTTTGGAGAAAATCGGCTGAACGGTTTAGCCGCTAGCGTTGTTTATTGATTGACAAACGTTTTGTCGTGATTCGATATTTCGGTTTCAAGGACCCACAAAAGATAGATGGAGGGTACAGGAGAGAAACTGGGTTGGCACATCAGACCACTGATTACAGGCCCGAACCTTGCATTAGCCAGCGAAGGAGGCTGCCTTCAGCAGTCAGTGAAAATCCCGTTGGGATTGGTAATGCCCACAGGCGATCCGAGGGACCTCTTGCTGGGCCCTGCGGGGGGATATCCCGAGGACACTGTGGGTCGCAGTAACGGATGACAGGAAAAAGTCTAAGACTTGTTCCTTTCCAAGAATTATAACGAGTCTTTCCATCTTTTCCTTGGTCTGCTAACTTCTCTTCTTCCCCTCTGCCTTTCATCCCTTGTAATCCTCACGATTCTTTTCTCCCTCATTCTCTCAATATGATCGTTCCATTCCTTTCTTCGGTCTGCTACCCATTCCGTAATGGGCTTAACTTTGCACTCTTCCCAGATGTTTCTGTTTCTTTCCTTATCCAGTAGAGTGTGATTTGTAATTTTTCTCAGAACTCACATTTCGGCGACTTCAAGTTTTTGGGTAAGTTTCGTTTCGCTTCTTGTTTCTCCTGCATATGTTAATATTGATATAATTATTGACTGATATATTCTAACCTTCGAGTCCTGTGTTAGATGTTTATTATATAATATTGAGGAGTTGAGACAGTTCTATTATTTGAATATTCACTACCAATTTACACCCAATCGGATTCTGAGCAATTGTCATATCTTTCGTCTTCTGGGTAGGTATTTGTAAATTAAAATTCTTACAAAGTTTACTGAACTCGTACAGTAATCGTTGGAAGTCATCTTCATTTTCTGCTATTAACAATGTGTCGTCTGCGTACCATATGATATTTAAATTATATTTTCCCATACTATTTTCTTTTCTTGTTTTTAGTTGTTTTGTAATGTTATTGAATTGAATTGAATTGATTCATGATTACATTATATAACAATGGGCTCAATTAATCCCCTTGTCTTTTTCCTTCCGATGCAGGTACAGCAGGTAAACTCCCCTGGCTTTTAATTTTTGATATATATATATATATATAT